GTGGATATAGTTCGCTCACACTGAGGTCCTATCCATATGATCATTTACCCAGAATGCTTTGCATGTAAATAAAATGGCTCCGTCCATGTTAAAATATATGTTCAAAAATTTACAAAACTAAACAGCCTACAGTATTTTTACTGTCTTTATTTTACAGTTACAATAAATGTAATAAATAAATAAATAGATCCCTTTAAAACTGAACATTAAATCTTTTTTTGCTTTATTTTTTCTTCCTCTATGAGAAATAATCTTTACCATCTTTCACTCTGAGCTTGGCTTTAACACATTTGGCTGCAGACAAGGTTTCCTCCCTTCCTTTGAATAAGGTGAAATTAATGGGTTGTTTTAATGCCTGACACGTATCACTGTTTTCCAACTGCTGCAGCTCAGCAGGACCTCCTGTTTTGGAAAAACAATTTGGCAACGATTAATGCTGATTAAACTGATAACAAGCCCAGTGAAAGGGATGGTGGTGGGAGTCGTGGAAAAAAGCACAATTCAGTTGATCACTGTGGAGGAAAAAAGTATCATGAAAGCTTTTTACGTTGTTTTTCACTTAAGTGTTGTTTTTTATTTACCACAATGCAAGCTGAGGATTTGATCGAACTTGTCAAAGTTTTAAATAAATTCTACCTCCATCTCTTTCTGCTTATTCTGTTGGTCGTAGAGATGACAGATGAGAGAAACCCAGATCTCTGTTTTTTTTTTTTTTGCCCAGCAACACTTTCCAATGAGTCCTGGGTCTTCTCCTGGGCCTCTTACCAATGGGACGTGCCCAGAAAACCTGCAAAGGGAGGCGTCCTTATCAGATTTAGGATGGATCGACAAATCAGTAATGAGGTTGTTGCTTCGGTCAGTTGTGGTGAATAGTTGAGTCGAAAGGCAAAGCTCTCAATTTACTGGTCCGTCTTCGTTTCAACTCTCACCTGTGGTCATGACATGTGGATCATAATCGATAGAACGTGATCCTGATACAAGCTGCTGAGATGAGCTTAGAGACCTGAGGGGGCTCAGAGTRGAGCCGCTGCTCCTCCACATCGAAAGGAGCCAAGCTGAGGCGGTTCTGATTCTTCCGGTCATATGCCACTGGGAAGAGAACCCCGGGCCAGACCCAGAACTCGATAGAGGGTTTATATATCCTCCCAGGTATGAGAACACCTCAGGGTCCCTCAAAGAGCTGGAGGGTCTGGGTTTCTGTCCTGAACCTGTGGCTGACCACGGTAAGAGGTGGAAATTAGAACTGAAGAAGAAATCCTTTTAGTTCAGCAACAGACTTAATACATGAAGTTAAATGTTCATTTCACAATCTGTTACATGAACTAGGAGTGCTGTAATTATGGTCAAAAACAGCCAGAGTGCACTGGTTTGCCGCCTCTGTACTCTATATATTTTTGCAATAAAATGTATATTTTCTGTGACGTTTCAGGTCGATCGTGGCGTACCAACCTCAAGGAGACAACAGCCACACCTTTGAGGCCACGGCGCTGCTGAAGTCCTTCGGGATGTTCCTCGGAGTTTTCAGTGGCTCCTTTTCTCTGGGCGTGGCCACTGGAGTTGTAACAGCTCTCATATCTTTTTTTTTTTGTTCTTCTGTTGTTTATTAATTAATGAAGATGAATGGATTTCATTTCAAGTCAGATCTAGAAAACAGAGAAATATTTAGTRCATTAGTAATTATTATTATTAGTACATTAGTAATCTCTGAGTGACAGATGGGTTTGTGTGTAGAAGTATTAGAATCAGCACAACCAAAATGAGCGACATATTGTTTTTGTTTTCAAGCGTTTGAAAGAAGTTAGTTCTTTTTGCGGCGCTCAGTCAGCGTAAGGCTTTAGAAGCAAATGAAGGAAAGTTGGTAAAGTCCTTGACTTTGGCATACGTGACAAAGTTCACGAAGCTGAGGGATTTCCAGCTGCTGGAGACGGCTCTGTTCTTCCTCATGTCATGGAGCACGTTTCTGCTGGCTGAGGCTTGTGGCTTCACAGGTAACAAACAAACACACACACTCACTCACACAGATACAACGTAAGTTGAGGGTAACGTCAATTTCTGCCTTGAATTCTAACGGAAAATCTAAACAAAATATGCAGGGAATATTGTTAATCCATTGTAATAATCCAGATCAGAGTTTGTTGATCTTGTRTTGTTCTGCAGGTGTGGTGGCAGTGTTGTTCTGTGGAATCACTCAGGCCCACTACACTTACAACAACTTGTCCCCCGAATCTCAGGACCGAACAAAGCAGGTCAGACCTGGACCTCAGCCGTCACACTGCTTCTTATCCGCTTTTTCAGCATCCTTAAACCATTAACAGTCTGCCTAAATAAACAATAAATCCAAATATTTTTTAGAAACATCATGGTTATTCTCCTGTACGTCCTCTATCTAAAACTGGTTTTGTTTTTGTTTGCTCGCAGCTGTTTGAGCTCCTAAATTTCCTGGCAGAGAACTTTATTTTTTCCTACATGGGTCTGACCCTGTTCACCTTCCAGAACCACGTCTTTAATCCGATGTTCATCGTCGGATCTTTTGTATCCTTTGGACCTGATGAGCCACAACGTTTATGAACTCACTCCTTGATCCAGAAAGTTTATTTATTTACTGTTATTTAACCAGGCAAGTCCCGTTGAGATCTCAGATCTCTTTCTCAAGGGAGGCCTGGGCCTGAAGTTAACCTACTGTACAAAAGTGAAATATTTTACTTTAATTTTAGTAGAAACATGAGGCCATGCTGCTCATTTMTGCATTTTTACAAATAAAAGCAGTCAAAGAATTAAAAGCAAGGACCTAAATGAAATCAAAATCTTTTTAGTAGCAAATAAGCCTGTTGTGTCAGAAATTGTTGCTGGTTTTGATTTTCTTAACGTCGCTCCCACTCAGCTGGCTGTTTTTCTTGGCCGAGCTGCTAACATCTACCCTCTTTCRCTTCTTCTCAATCTGGGCCGACGTTACAAGATCAGGTCCAACTTTCAGCACATGATGATGTTTGCAGGTCAGTGGAGCACAGTTGTTGCTGTGGTGGAAATCTTAAAAAAAAAAAAAAAGAATAACAAAGACGACCTCATTGGGACACCTYCATGTTTATTTTTGTACAACGCTCTCTGTGTTCGTTTGCTCAGGCCTGCGAGGGGCGATGACCTTTGCCCTGTCCATYAGGGACACGGCCACGTATGCCCGGCAGATGATGTTTTCCACCAACCTCCTCGTGGTCTTCTTCACCGTTTGGGTTTGTGGCGGGGGCACCACTCAGATGCTGTCCTGCCAGCGAATACGGTACGACCGCAACTTTGTCAAATCAGCTGCTTCGAAAACAAATTTTCTGCTGGTGTTTTAGGCCCTGTTTACAGCTGAATGATGTCTGGAAACATTAAAATACACAAACGTTTATTATGAGTTTGATTTGCGCYTCCATGTTGAAAAAAGGTGATTTCTGCTATCCACCATGGTTACTGTCGCTCATCTGGTTCCACAAGYGCAGAAAAACTATTGACTGCAGCCGTCTGTAGTGCGCAGGTGTGATGTCACACCGCTGTGGGGGGAGGGGCTTCCYGAAAAACCTCCAGTCTGAGACCTGGGTTGACAAAGCTTAGGTTTCAGAGAAAACAGGCACAGTTGTCACGTCCACAGTTGACTGAACAGCAACATAAAAAYGGTGTCCTATAAACTGGATTTTAGAAGCCATTCCCTGAAAACTCATCTTTATTTATCCATTTATATAATAGGAAGCTTCTATACATTTAAACACCGTAATTTATTCAGAACTTTGAAATTATCAAGATGTAATTATATACCTAATTTAGGAATTTAAAAAAAAAAAGTTGTCTCACAATCTTCTGCTGAAAGCTTCCACCAGAAACTGATTTTTATTTTYCTCAACAGAGTTGGAGTAGACACCGATCAAGATAACTCGGTAAGGMACAGAACTTGGACACACGTTTTACAGCAGCGTGATTGTTAGAGGAACTGATCAAAAAGTAATATTAATGATGTTTTTGTTCCAGATGAGTGTCACTGATGGATCAGAGAGAAGAAGCACCAAACAAGAAAGTGCCTGGCTTTTCAGAATCTGGTACACCTTTGACCACAAGTATCCTTTACAGCAGTGTTTCCCAAAGTTGGGGTCGGGACCCAAAGTGGGGTCCCAAAACTTCAAGGTGGGGTCCTGAAAA